AATTTTTGGTCAGAAGTTCATTTCAAACTAATGACCAATCTGGAACTTTCAAATGCGCTCGCTCACGATGCAAAACTTGTCCCTTCATTTATAACGTAGAGAAAATATCGGGACCCAAGAGATCCATTACGATCACTGATCACTGTATTAGTACCTCCGCCAATGTCATTTACTGCATAACTTGCACTTATTGCAATGAGTTATATATTGGCGAAACAGGAAGACGACTAAGTGACCGATTCCGAGAACACCTTCGCGAAGTGGAAAGAAATAACAAGGACGCATCCAAACCAGTTGCTAGACACTCTAATCTCCCTAATCATTCAAAACAGCATATGGCAGTTTGCGGCCTCTCCTAACATCTAGGCAGTTCGGAAAGCTGCAAAACACTAGAACAAAAATTTATGTTGCAAATTGGCACCCTTAATCCCCACGGAATCAACGAGCGTTTTCCATTCAACTAATTTATTCCTGTTTTCTCGTCGCCATATTTCCTCCAATAGCGTAGCTCCACCTTCTGCATATAAACCTACACACAAGCCACAATTCCTCCAATCGCTCTGACGAAGGGTTAACGCTCGAAACCTCAGCTTTTTTACCCTTTTCGGTGGCCAATTTACGTTTTCAACTCAGTTGTTAACACTAAATTACCTGCTGTCCTCTGTATACTTTTCTAAGGAGGCGTAAGTCAGGGCTTTGAATAACGTTCAAGTTTTCCACGAACATTGTAGTAGGTATAGTAGGTGTATAGTGGCGTAGTAAATCATGTGCTCGGAGAGGAGGGGGTCAGGGGGCATTGTCCTTCCGAGAAAAATTGAAATCCAGAGCTCAAAAATGTAATTTCCATCATTCTGGGCATTAAAAAGAGTACTTTTTGTCATAATTTCCATTGAAACTTTTGTAATTTACAAGCTATCCCTGACCAATCAGAATGCTTCGTTGTGGAGCGTTCGTGTTTAAAAGAAGCAAATTCGAAAATCAATGCCTCGCAGGGAGGCTCCCATTTCAAGACTACCCCTTCCTCTTCCCCCTGCCGGCTCGTTACTCACTCGTTTGAAAGCCCACGCGAAACCCAAACACAAGACCCTGCCTACAAGCTAAACGGTGGTAAGAGGTCTGATGGGCAGCGATAGATCACCAGTTACTTGCTTTTACTAAAAGTAAAAGAATAGCAAACTATAGCAGTGCGTCCACTGTAGTGTAGGAAACGAAAGAGTCGTTGTGCTGCATGTAAAAGGGTTTTTAGTCATTAATATAAATGATAAAAAAACCTCTCAACCTCTAATACGTTCGCAACTTAAAAAGCTTTACATTGAATTCAAACATTGTTTTATAGATTCAGGCACATCAAAATGTTTCATATATCCTCTTCATCAAAATTTCGGAAACGCAGTGTTGCCATAGCCTCGTAAAAACCGTAGGTTATATTAATTTCACAAAAATGTATTGAACAAGATCCACATTTCCAGTGTCCACGGGCAATCTACCAGCGGAATTGTAGTCGTGGATTATAAATGTTGAATCATTTTGCTAATAAATAATTTTTTTTCAATTTTAATTCATTTACCTATGTAACTATGATAGAAGGCACATTTGTAACGTCATGTCCATTATCCTCTGCCATATAAGTCAGAAGTTTGCTATTCTTTCTATTTTACAGACTGCTGATCAAAAACAAACTTACATTTATTGCCAAAGACGTTTTTGATGAGACTCCCAGCCTGAAATCATTGTAAGAATAGACTTTGGTTCTGAGATTTCCGGTAATGCTGTATCATGTGCACAGTCAAGAGAGGATAAAGTGTTATCCGCTATTCTCTCTTGGTATTCTAGATCAGCCTACTACCATATCTATTCTGTTAACACAATGATAATTTAAAAAAAAATACGTAATTGCTCGTATTTCGAAATCACTTGGAGGTGTTCCCACGTCCTGTTTTTATTTTAAAATATATTGTAAAAGACGATACGTGTTTTTGTTTTTAAAATAAATAGCAGTTGTCGTTGATCAGAGAATTTTTTTTCTCTCCTTCTTTCTTCCTTCGCTAAATCAAAATTTGTTATTTTTTTTTAACTTTGATAGTTATTTGATTATCAGCGTAATATGGGAATAACCAGAACCAATTTCGAGGGTAAAGTATGCTGAGAACTATCAAAATGGCTTTGAAATTCCGTCAAATATTCATACCCTTATTCCGAATTCCAATTTGCAATGCATATACGACATCTTTATGATTGTTGCGCAAGTGGATAATTGCTTCAACCAAATAAATTTTTCCCGTAGGTTTCTTCACAGTAATGCAATTACAAACATTGAAAAGGAGACTTTTGACAGACTCGACCTGAGCCAGTTGTGAGTAAATTGAAGAATAGAATGATTTCCTTTGAAGCTAAAACTTGGAATGTGATACATTAACAAACTAAAATGTTTTATTGTTTTTTCTTAGCGGTTGTTAAGGTGTCAGTAGATGCCATACACATAATTAAAACTCACACCCCCATATCAGGAGCTTTAGCATAACATATCTTGTTTAATGGGTATATACGCGCTTCATTTTCAGAACCATCTTTGATAATCCTTTAAACTCATTACCAGACGGAATATTCGACGGAATGGCAAATGGAACCCAAGTGTAAGTCAAGCCGTATGGCTTAAAAGCTATATACATATAAAGTGTAAAATTTTGACTTTCGTAAAACAGTGCTCAATACACAGGAGCAGAGCGATGTATATATTGTG